CAAATTATAACAACAAATTGAAATTTACGTAAATTGAAGTCCCGCGTGTATTAATAGATTTTCTCTTGTTGTATTTAAACTTCTATTATATATTTACTTTTTTTACTTGTATTATATTATTTTTTAATTACTATATAAGAATATTTTGGGTAAGTTTTTTCTCTCTAACATTTAACCCGTTCAAGTAACTCTACTATTTTTATGGTTTTGGTGGAAGTTGGCAAATCAAAATTATTATCGCAGAAAATCATAATTTTTAACGAAAATGTTTATAAATGATATATAAAAAATATATAAGAGAGGTTATAAAAGTTAAAAAGTTTAAAGTTTATTAGAATTTTTAATTTATTGTATATTATATATGATTATGGAGTTTTATTTTTGTAAAATTTTTGGTAACTAAGTGTATTCTGCGCGATTATTATTATTATTATTATCATTATTATTTATTTGCAATGTTAATTAATGATGTATTTACTACGTGTAAGAAAATATATTAAATTCTTATTGTAAGAAATTCTAGAAAGAAAATATAGATTTTTTTGCATTTTTAGAAGAAGGAGGTAAAAGTATAAATCTTTAGATATTTTATACTTCTTTTTCTATTCTTAAGCAAAGGCGACGATATACAATACAAAATCATCTTATTCTACAATGTATTTGGAGTTATATACGCAGGCATCTACGACTGTAGTAAAACTTACTTTTCGTACTATGCGGGTTTGCGTAAAGGACTGGCAAGTTTCCTCGTTACCATTATTTGTCATTTTGCTCTACATCTTGAAAGGATGATTTAAAGCATCGCGTCTTTGTTCCAAGCAAATAATTTAAAAAAAATTTCAATGCTATGTAAATTAATTTTTGCTTTTAATCAGTATATATGCAAACACACAGAAACACACACATACACACAATATATAAATATATTAATATATTAATATATACATATAAGTATTTTTATACTTTTTAGCACAAATTCGTTACAATATATATATATATATATATATATATATATATATATATATACTATTATTATTATGTTATATTAAATTTATTATAATAAGATGTCAATTATTTTATAAGAATTAACATGTTATTTAAGACTCAATTAAATTTATAGATAAAAATCAAAGCTCAATTGAAATAACACGTATGTGAATGTATGCCCAAGTATGTGCGTGTATGTTATATTGGATCCTCGAAATCCAATATTTGCTCCATCGATACTTTTTATGTAATTTATCACGAAGAATCACACGCAATAATATCTACCCAATAATAAGAGCGAATAAAATGCGTATATGTAAATGACAATTTGCAATGACAAAGGGAAGAGATGACATAGAGGATTATTTAGGTTGTAATAATATGCTGATGAAGTATTAATTTCAATTGCGCCTTCTTTGATCTCATTCTTCTTCACTTGTTAGTGGCTTCGTAGTTATGTATATACGTTAATATCTACACTTTGTGTCAACTCAGTACATTGACATTAGTAACCCGTAATTATCTTATTATTTAACCTCCAATGGGGAGCAAGTCAATCCACTTTGTATTAATAAATCTTCCATACAAATAAACATATTTTTATTATTAAACATATTTATATATATATATATATATATATATATATATATATATATATATATATAGAGAGAGAGAGAGAGAGAGAGAGAGAGAGTGAGAGGGGGTGTGAGGGAGAGAGGGGGGAGGGAGGGAGATATGCATGAAGATATAAAGGTGAGAATATAAGTCTCTTCAACAATAGAAGCAAGAAGATAACAGAGCAGACTTTCTACGCGACCCTGTTACCGTAAGCTAAAATACACAATCTAAATTACTGTTTCCAAGTCAAATATGTTATAATGTAGTTACTGCTGGTCATGCTGTGCCAACCACTTTTTGTTAAAATTGTTTTAATTTATCTTCCATCTTAATATTGAATTTAATAACATTAATTTAATACAAATTTTAATGCCGTGACATTAGGTCGGCATTCTTATTGCCGATATACATTTATAGTGAAGATGATGTGTTTATGAGGGAGAAGAAAAAAAGTTGCCAAAAAACGATTAAATGAGAAAATATATACATTTATAATCGTTTGTGAAAGTGAGTGAGTGTGTGTGTGTGTGTGTGTGTGTGTGTGTGTGTGTGTGAGAGAGAGAGAGAGAGAGAGAGTTTATTGTTATCACATATTATGGTGCGATGGATTCTGCATTTTCGCATAGAATTTCATTTGTTAGTAACCCCTACATCTATATTAATGTTGTTATATATTATATTATTTCTCATATTCTTACCGAAAACTAAAACGAATGTTTTTACACCAATCAAAATTTAAAAATTTATTTTTCTATAGCAATTACTATTGTCATCTTTTTTCAAACAGCCTCTATGATGGATTAGTGAAAAACAAATTTTGTTGTGTATGGACACGATATTTCTAAAGGAAGCTTTCTTTGTACATCAAAACTTAACATATGTAAAAAAAAATTTTTTGTAAATTGTTTGATTTTAATGTAATCTATTAATTCTTTCAATTTATATGAACGAAAGAAACGAATTTTAATAACTATATTTAATTAATAACTTTTAACTTATTTTAAACATTTAATTTATGTTCAAGTTAAAAACTAAGAAAGTTTTATAATTAATCCTTAAATAAAACATATTTATATTATAAAAAATTTAAGGAATTTAATTTTTGCATAACATAGTTTTATCGTCTTTCTTAAGTTGATTAAGTAGGCTAATATTTCTATATATCATTAGTATAACAACTATTAATTAACATACATTTTTGTTTGAATTATAGTAAATTTATGAAATGTTAAGTTTAAAGAAAAATTATCAAAAAATGGAAAATTTTTTATAATATCTTGTATTATATTTAAATAGATAAATTTATAACAATTTTCATTAAATTTATACTTGAGAAGTGTGTCTTTCTAAAACAAGTGCTGACATTGCGATTACATCCTCTTGAAATTACATCATAAAAGTTAAATAAGAAAAATAAATTGTTGAAAATTACATATTCATGCAAAAATCCGTTTATATAATTTGTGCATTATTTATATGTAATTAAATTTCAATTACTTAAATGAAATTGCTGCCAGAATATGAGAAATTGCAAAAAGACGCAATGCGGCATTAGTTTATTGCAACCAGGTGTGAAGAAATTGTCCGGTCATCAAAATCTTTCAGTTTCTCATTCTTGTAATCTTCGATCGGTTGTTCAAAAAAAAAAAGAAAAAAAAAAGACGACTATTTAAGTACTTTAAGTTGCGCAATCGAAGATAACTTTATTAATAAAGATCTACAAAAAATTTCGGTAAGTTTTATACTGAAATTTCCTTTTTTTAAAGCAATATAAACGTTACATGCATCTTACTCTAAGTAGTTCGATTGATTTTTTATTTCATTTATTACTTCGGTCAAACTATTTCCTTTTGAAAAAATAAAAATTATTGAAGTATTTTATCTAATTATTCTCTATCAACATTTTTTACGATCTAATTGTACATAAGGATGAGCTGTATTTTCAGAATCGATATATTTTGTTATCAATTTAAGGTGTTACTTCACATTTCTCAGTATTTATTTAGTAATTAAACTATACTACGCTTTACTGATTAAACAATTTAATATTTTTTAGTGTAGAGAATGATATTCTAAAGCCTTAAAACTAAAAAAAATGTAGAACTGAAAAATATTCTACTTCCATGTCATATTTCGTTTTTTTCTTTTAGTGAAAATCATGGTTAATAAAGAGCTTAGTTGAATCTTTGGATTTAAGTTTTTAGTTACACAATAATAGAAGAATTACCAGAAGATATTATTGAAGATAATGAAGAAAGCACCTATTTAATATCATTAATTTTATATTTATAGTTTATTTATAATTCTATTGATTCTCATATCGAGTAAATCAAGAATTATAGCGTTGACAGAGAGAAAATAGATTCTCATTTTAATCATTGAAAATTAAGTATATACATTTTGAAAGTCTTTACATTATTTATTATTTGTTAGTATAGTTTTAGCACTATACTTAATGAGAACTCTCATACTTTGTTAAGTATTCATACAAATGTATTTTTAACTTCTATAATCTGTATATTATAAATTTACAGCGAAAAATGCTTAAAAACAAAATTATTTATTAATATAGTTAATATATTTTAAATCTATAATATTACTCCTAAATAAATATCATAAATCACTCACAAGCGATATATATGTATATATATATATATATATATATATATATAATCTAATTATATAAATAGACATAAATAAATATTACATGTAATTGTAACTAATAAAAAAAATTTAATCACTTGTAAGGTGATTGAATTACTTGAATGAATTATATCTTAATTTATTTTTAGTGTATATTATTTTTCTAATTATACATAAGTTTTGCAGGTAAGATGCAAAAATCATAAAAAGGAAAAGTAGAAAGGAATGAGCAGAATATAAATAATTATTGACATAGGAAATACACTAGAGTTTATATTACAAATTAGCCTATTGCCTTCGACAAATTACTCTTTTTTCCAGTTCTATGTGTGTATTAATCGATATTTTTTAATTTTACTTATTCCATTATGTATGTTTATTACTTATCTATGTATTAAGAAAATATTTATTAAATTTAACTTAATAAATGATAATACACACAAATTCGTCATTTTAATAAAAAAAATAATAAAATAATAATAATAAAAATAAAAATAAAAACAAATAATTTCTATAGCTTTAACAATAGATTTTTTCTTATGGAACGATCAAATTCGAAAAGTTTTGCTTAAATTTGAAATAGCATTTGTAATATGTAAAATAAATTGATTGCTGATATCATTTTTAATAAAATCATTATCGTATAATTGGAAAAATTATTATTAACAGAACCTTTTAGTTGTAAAATTGTAGGATAATAGAAATAAATGAGTACATGCGGGAAGTAAGGCTACATTACGTATGATACTAACCTGAGGATAATCACCATCCTTTGTCTGATAATCAAACACATAAAAGTAGATTCTCGGCGATTGATCTTTCTCCGTATCATGAGCTGATAATAGCGTATGTAGCGTACTTGGCTTTTTAGCGTGTCGCAGAGTAAAGAGATCGCCAGTTTGCACAAGTGGTGCAACAAATTGGGCATCGCTTAATGCTTGAACGCAGGCATCGCGCGTGTTTACCGGATGCTGCACTGTTCGTTCCCAATCTGTGTATTCATTAACGATCTGGAAAGATCAGAGAATATAATACAACGTAATGAAATAAGTGGCATTTAAGTAATATTAGCAAGATTATATATCACAATAACAATGGTAATGAGGTAGATTAAAAATTGAATATTACCTTGAATAAAGGTTTCTACTGACAAATATCCATATTATAAATATCCAATACCAAATTTTTAAAATTAATTTACTGCTGAATTATTTGAACTGTGTTGATCATATTTAAGTTTATTTCTCATTATTACTTATAGTTTTTAAATCAAGCTATTCAGTGAGAATATTAAATTGTTAATATTAAATTATTTTGTTATTTAAAATAATTCCTAGCGTTGATAATTATAAATTTTGACCATAACTCTGACAATCGTCAATGCATCAATATGAACAATCTTGGCGTAAAAACTTACTGTATAAAAAATCTCTGTAAGGTGATACGTATAGGCATTCCTCACGTAGGTTCTAATAATTTTATCTCTGCGTTCACCTTCGAAGCCCTTTTGAACATCTCTTTCTGCAAATCGCCAAAGAGCCTCGCTCGTTGTTACACCAAATAACAAATCGTACTTATTGTTACTGGTAATGGTGTCACCGTGATCAGTCTTTTTTGACAAAATTCTGAAAGCATTGTTTTGAAAAAGAAATTTGGTTAGACGAATTTACCCTATATTAATAATTGATCATTAGGAATTTATAATTATTTGATTTTGTATGGAATTTTTGAAAAGGAAATATCAAATATAAAATAAGTATGATTCAAAACTTTGCGTTATTACGTATAATCTGATAGCGAGAATATAGACAGTAAATTTTCATAAAGCTATTATTCGTTAGTATTAACAATATTCCAATCGTGTTTATTATTACAATCGTTTATTATAAGGTCATTCGATAATTCCTACTTGATTCGGCTTTTTAAAAATATTTGTTGGGTTCATTAACTCACAAAGTAATTGCTCCGATAAAAATAAGTGTAGACAATAATATCTATGGAATTAAATTCCGTTTTATTTCATATAATATTTAAATTACAATTTTTAACACTTTAATGAGCTACATACATATGTGTACATAAAAAACATAAACGGCAGTTATTTAACAGTTAACGACTGCATTTAAATATTTAAATATGTCGCGCACTGGATACAATTACGAATGAATCTCGTGCAGTTGTGCTAAGTAGGGCGAACTTTTCCCAAGTCGTTAACGACATAAAATTAATTCCTTTCAATTTATTTTATGTAAAATATTTCTTTCACTACGTATTATATTATGAAAACTGACATGCATGCATCATGGCTATTCATTCTATTGCTTTCTAAAGGCCAAAACAAACTAACCGAATAACTTGAAGTTTTGTGTGGAAATCAGTAAGATATTTATGCTATTATCGATCGTTTGATAACAATCACTTTGACCTCTACATTTACTATAGTCGATATATTCTCAATGTTCATTAATGTTAATATATTAACATATAAATAAAATTTGCCAAGTTTTCACACTTTGTATAGATTATTTTTCGAACGAAATTTTATATTTTATGCATTGATAATTCGTAAAAAAATTATGAAGTTGCTATTATTAATATTGAATGAAATCATATTTCAATTTAAAAATTACATTTGTCATTTAATTTATTTTGAGAATCAAATTATACTAAAATCCATTTATACGTAAATAATTTTACAATATTTTTATAATACATTTTACAAAGTTATTGTAACATACGCGTCATACGATATTTTAATTCAATATCAAGAAGGTCGCAAATGAAAAATGTATTCTATTCATATATAAACTTGAATTATACAATAATGGAAATCTTAATAGTAAATACTAATGTAGCTTACCCAAGTCCTTGGAATTCTGGACCGAGGTAAGATAACAAATCCTTTTGAAAATTAGGCTTAATCACCACTCCATCAACGCTTGGCCCAAAAGCACTGAGGAAGGTAGGAGGTTTTATATCGGCTTGCAGTAGAGCCTCTAGGCTGCTTTCTCTTAAGCAATCAACGAGAAGTTCATGATCTTTGAATAAGTCCTCGGGTATCGAACAATTTAATGTTCTTGCCAATTTCAGAGCATAAAAAACGGGATTGTCAACAACAGCCCAAGAAGATAAAGCGCTTCCAGATAATAGGATCGCTCGTTTAAATAGTCCTATAAAATGAGCATACAATATTTAATATAAAATATTTGCTATAAACTTTTATCTCTATGATATATATATGTATATATATATATATATATATATATACATATAATTATCATAGAGATAAAAGTTTATAGCAAATATTTTATATTAAACATTTTATTATACATAATTTCATTATGTCTTTTCATTATTTGACGTTTTAAAACAGTAAAAATATTGTAAATAACATATACCAAAGCAATAAATTACCTGTAATATATATTAGTAATAAAAAAAATATTAACGTTTATTTATCTAAAATATACAACAGTTAAACATAATAAGTATACTCCAAGCATTGATTCTCTATTAGATTTTTATTATCAATAATAAATAACTAGATAAAATAAACTAAAAATCAAAATACTTTATGAACCAACATGAAGTATTTTCTTTTATGTTTTAATATCGAAATACTTTTCACCAAGAAAGTGCATAAATACCATTGACAAATAAGATTGGAAAAGTAAAATAATTTGCAAGTTTTCGATTTAATGAGATTTATTATATATATATATATATATATATATATATTTGTTGTTGTTGTTGTTGTAGACGTTTAGATAGGATCAGATAAAGACTATTTTCCGAGCAGTTGCGAATATAAAAGATAATAACAAAATTGTGATATATATATAAAATAAATGATGGCTAATAATATTATTAAGAATAATAATATTGACGTTTTAAACAAATGATTTAAATTACCGTTAGATTAATTATAGTATGAGTATTCTCATTCGTATTTATTCCTATATTTAAATGTGAAATGAGAGAAAACAATTGCAAGATAGAGTAAGAGAGAAAAAGTTTAATTGAGAAGTAATATCAACTCTTCAATTATATGAAAGTTATTTATGATATTTTTTATATTTACTGGAGACCTTTATGAACTTTTTCAATTTATTATTTCCCATCGTAAATTTCGGTCTTATTCTAAGTTATGTATAGCGCTTCATTTGTGTCGGTGCTTATAATTTTAAATTTTTCATGATTGCAGTTACTGAAAGAAATTTTAAGTATATATTTGCGTACAGAATTTGTACGTAAACTTCATTTCTTTTACGTAATATATAAAAGCGAATTGACAAAGAATTATAAAATTATCTTACTTGAGAAATTAATACAAAAGATATAAATCTGTTAATACGATCGTATTCAAGTATATAGTTATTAAGTATATTATTATGGATTTTTCATTAGTTTTCTTTCTTTAATTCTATATTCATTAATTTTATAAATAAGGAATAAAATACTGTTATAATTCGAGCTTCATAGTACAAAGTATAAATATCATTAGGAGACAACATATTTTGTGTTAATTAAGCCTCGTAATTTATTCAAATTTTCATAAACTATACATATAACAAACTATACATATAATATATGATTCCAAGATTTTCTTACTTTTATCACATGCATTACCATATACATCGACTATGGTATACCGAATATCAAATGTGTATATAAACATAAAAGGTAAAGATAAAAAGACAAAAAAATTATTATTTATTTTAACATAAAAATGAAAAATGTATAAAAAGGTTATATTTTCTGAAATATTTCAAAAACTCTTTGATTTATGAATTTACAAAAATTGTGTTATATCTTAGTATCTAACACATTCGATACAATATCAAGGTTACGCGAATTAGCGTTATGGTAGAAATTCTTCTAATATAATAATAAATCGAGTTACGACTATTCTAGTGAACTGACATGAACATTATTATTTTTGAAATTTAATATTGCCTTCATTTTCTTTGGCCCCGCTCATCGATGTATCAGCGCTGATCAAGTGCATAGCGAAATCAATAAGCCAAAAACATTTTTGTCTTTCATTTCTACACCCACATTATTGTAAAAACAAGTTGGCAAAATTGAAGATTCTTTAAAATGCACATTATTCAATATGTTTCATTGCTATGATTGGTATAGTATATTGATATATTAGATAAAATAAGAATCATTTTATTTTGTTGAGTGATTAATATTATTTAAAAAGTTTAATAGAGATGCGCAATAAAAAAAGCACTAATCAAATAAAAGAATAATTAAAATAAATTATACACGTTTTGTGCGCATAAATGATCGTTTTAAAGTTCCTTATATTCGAAAATATATCATAAATTACAAAATGAACGACAGAACGTTAATTCTTACGAATGGAAATTAAAAGAAAATGGTCGCTAAGGGTTAAAATTCAATGTGACTTTTATGCTTTTCATTGCTTATTTAGACGATAAATGTATATTTGATTACAAACAATTATTTATTTGCAAATATTTTAGCATTTAATATTACATTGGAAAAGAGAATTCTAGAAAATGTAACAAAGTAACGTCGTATATTTAAAAAAAAAAAAAAAAAGAAGAAATATTTCAGATTATTTATTTCATCAAAGTTTCTTTTCCAGTTTTCAAGAAGTTTGAACTGATTTAATTGTTACATTTATTAGTAAACAGCTACCGTATTATTACATTAAAGAAGTAGAAAAATTGGTTAATTAATTGTGGTAAATAGAGAGATCATTTTTCCGCACTAAAAAGTTCATTATAAATGTATAATTTCAATGAAATATTGGTGACAATTGATTTTCCAATAATTTTGAATTTTAATTGAAAAAAAAAACCAAAAGAATTGTCAATAACTTATAATTTCATATTATTTCGTTTAAATTTGATTTATTGTATTTTAACATCCTGCCCGCTAGGATGATTAATTTTTCTGTAACTATAGTGTTAAAGATTTTAATATTTATTTTAATATTTAATTATTTTAATAGTGAGCGCAAATCACATAATAAATAAATAAATAAAAGTTCCAATAGTAAACGCAAATATTATAAAAATAATATTAATTACTAATATTAATAGATTCTTTTATGTTCTACTTTTTAAGTCATACATTTTTCTCTTTTTTTAAAAGAAGCTTTATGAATGCAAGAAAGAGAATCCATATGAATCGAAATATGTGGTATTTTAATTTACACAAAAATTATAAATAATTTGTTCTTATCAATTAGCTATAATAAAATTTTATTTATAATTACAACTATAATACATAATTGTAGTATATAATTAAAAAAAAAAGATAATTAAAATATTATCAATTATTTCGGATTACATATTAAGTATTAAAAGAATATTAATTAATTTATGAAGGTATGAAATATAAAGTCTTTTATCAGAAATTTTATCCTAAATCTCTTTTATCCTAAAAATATGTGGAGAAGACGCTTGTGAAATCATATATATATATATATATATATATATATATATATATATATAATGAAAGTAATTTCATTTTATTAATCATTGAAATTCTTAATCATTTATACTATTTAAAATGTTATTTAAATGAGAAAAGCCACGTCTCATAATGGACAATTTTCTACATTCATGAGCTTTATACAATATCTTCAGCAAGGTTTTTAATAACTTTTTCAACAAGATCACGCGTATAGAGACTTTTCTCATCCAAATGGACAAATGAAACTGCTCTATCTCTTACCAGGCATAACCGTAGGACTAATGGCAAGGAAGTTGACACAAGCTGCACCCGTTCCTTGACCCATGAGAGTCACGTTGCTCGGATCACCGCCAAAGTATTCAATATTTTGTTGGATCCAGTGAAGCGCGGCGATCTGATCCATTAGGCCATAATTTGCCACCCGGGCTTTGGTGTGGGGTGAGACATTGGCGTTGAGAAAACCAAGTATGCCCAATCGATAATTTAGAGTAATAACAACTTGGTCGGCATAACTAGCGAGAATAGAACCATCATACATGTTACCGCTTCCCCAGTCGAAGCTTTCTCCATGAATGAACACAAGCACTGGGTATTTACGACCACCTTCTGACGTTCCTGTAAACAAATAAATACACATTAATTGCCTTCTTTTTGCGGATACCATTTTAAAGACTGATAATGTATTTTTTGTTAATTCTTTTCTTATATTAACGAGCAATATAATCTAATGTAGTAATGGCTAAGTGTTAGCTATAATTTATTTGTTTATCTATTAAGACGTTTATAATTATTTAAAATTATTACTTATTATCAATGCCATGAAGTTAAACTCTTCGAGAATCTTACGATATTCGCTTAAAGTATATAACATATGAAGTTGGTATCGCAAATTGTACATAATTTAATATTTGTTTCTTGAAAGAATATGCAAATGCAAATTAATGTCATTCATAATATAATCCTAATTATTAGTATATACATATGCAACTACATCAATGATTTTGAAATGTTTGAATTAATATGATAGTATTTCTTTAAAAAAGTAATAAAAAAATATTTTATTGCTTATAATTGGTTTTTTTTTTGGTTTTGTTTTTGTTTTTTTTTTTGTTTGTTTAAATATTACTAGCTAAATTAACTGGGCTTTCTTTATATTTTCATTCTTAAAATACTTACAATTTAAAAAATTAAATCTTATTATAGAAAGAAAATATTTTCAATTTTTCCATAAATTCAATATCTTCTATATTCAATATATAAATTTATGATAGGAATTTTGCACTATTAGTTAAATATAAACGATACTTAGAACTCAATATTAAATTAAAATACATTGGGAAACATTGGTGTTTTATATTTATACTGTACAGATGTCAATATTTAATTATTCAATTTATTTTTAAATATAGAAAATTATTATTGGTAGATGAAAATAAAATTTTAACAATTTCAATTTTGCACTTTATTATTACAGGAATCCATGAGCACATTAAGATTTGATTACATTGACGTTAATACGGCTGAATTACAATTAAATTGCATTAAATGAAAATGAGTTTAAAATATTTCAAACGTAAATTTGTATCTATTAAGAATTAAATATTATTATAGATTAAATATAAAATTAATAAATTGAATATTTGAGAATAAAAAATTTCTATTATGTATCAATAGAAGATCAATAAAATCAATAGAATAATTTAGAAGCAAAATTTTTCTATTTCACGTAATAATAAATATTAAAATATATAATTATATATAAACACATTTGTTCATTTTACAGTTTAGTATTATTTCGAGTTGTTAAACAAAATTATTCATTTTCAATTTCTCTATGGATAAATATTCAAAATTATATATATATATATATATATATATATATATATATATATATTATTAAATAAGAACAGAAATAGGAATTAATTTCATATTTAGTAAGTTAATAAAGGTAATACTTACAGGTGGTACTGAATGGTAATGAAAAGTCTTTGATATACGCAAATAAATCAGTTATTTAAATAATACAGAATTAATCAATATGAATTATGAATATGAATATGAAAATATGTTTTTCTGATTATATTTGATTTTGTGCATTAGTTATACATTAGTTATGGATTACGTAAACCAAATTAATGTTTTTACAAATGTTTTCCAAAATATTTTGAGGCAAATCATTAATTTGCAAAGAAAATACAGACTATATTAATTATGCTTTTTAAATGCATTTTTAACGTTAAAAATTTTATTACTCGTGGATACAAGAAAAACTATAATTACTATAGCATAGCGTTGTATTATAAATTTATGAAAATTACTATTGTATTAAATATAAAAATTAATTTGATTGATAAATTGTTATGTTAAATAACAAATGGAGCATATTAAAAATACACATGTGTGTTTATCATGAATTATTATGGATTTTAAAAAAATTAATTAAAACAAAAATTTCGAATGATAATCTATAATAACATTATACCGTATTTTAGTACTTACATTAAAATTTTAAATAATTATGTTAATTACAGAAAATAATATAAAATTATCACAATAGTTAATGAAAAATTATATCAAATATCTACAAATTAAATCAAATTCTACATTCAACTAATTTATTATAAAACAAAATATTATTTATTTTCTAATAACATGGCTAGGCTTTTATCTTGACACTATTATTTATAAATTTATTACCTTCATTCGCATTTTCCAGAAACATTTCAATTCTCAAAAACAGTTTATAAAAATATAAAAATTATTTGTATTTAATTAAATTAAAAAGTTAAATTAAAAAAACGCTGACGATTGAAAATGTTACCTATCATTTTGTCGTGATGCCTTGTCAAAAGAACAATCAATCATTTTTTCGAAGCTATATAATTCTTTGTTATTCTCATGACATGATCGTAACATAAAATTAACTACATAAATTAAATATATGACAATTACATATTAAATATAAAATTAAATTTAAATATATTAATGTTAAATATGAAATTAAAGACACAAAAGTGTTTAATATATAACAAAATTGAAATTCGCTATATAAATTATGTAATAGAATTGATGGGAGTTCATTGATTTATACTTATACATAAATTATCTATTTTTAATTAGAGAATCAGTTGTCGTTAGTATACGGAAACGTTGAATATTAGTGTTTTCTATTGAATAACATATTTATAATCATTTCATTATTTTTATTTATTATTTGAAATTTACAGCATTTAAATTATTACTTTTATTATTCGATTTTTATTCTCATAGATTTCAAATTGTTATAATATCAAAAAAAAAAAAAAGAATATATAAAATTAAAAAGAAATAAATACATACATTTATATATAAATGAGTTGAATATAGTTGATTTATGTATACGCGAGAGAAGCAATTATGCAGAATGAATAATAATCTGTAGACATGAATACATGCCTGTACATGCACACACACATATATATATATATATATATATATATATATATATATTTAATTATCTAAGTTAACTATATAACATTGAGATATTGTAAATATATTCGAGTTAGTATAAAAAACTTAATAAAATTACATTTTAAATTTATTATTATTTGATACACAATAGAGACTTGATTCAAAATTTCATATAAATAATAAACTTTTTGATAATTATGAATCAATCCACTTGTTGAATCCAAGTGCATTATATATATGTCTAAAGTAAATTCATTCATTTAAATACAAAATTTTTTTAAAAATATTTTTTTAACTTATAATTATAGGGCTTACCGTAATATTTCATTATAACATATATGATACATGTATAGTAAATTTTCTTATTAAAACATATCGGTAATTGTTAACCGCGTAAATGTAATATAGTTTTCTTAACAATCTATACTTCATCAAATTATTTCAAAGACAATTGAAATCAGTATTGTGATCAGAAACTGTATGTTTTTGGCAAAGGCAATTAAGTATAATTTACATTTACATGTACTTTTTAGCTCAGTCACTATCATTATAGAGTGAGTATTAAAAAACTAGAATGATAACTTGAACATAAGAATATTACCTTATCCTCTTTATCTCGTAACCAAAAATTTTGATTATTTTTTCTGATCCTGTACCTACATTGTTGATATGCCTGGTAATATTTAGCTACAAAACGCTTTCACCATATGTTTGATTTAATCATTTATTTGATTAATAATTAGAGTTTAATTGAATAATAAAATTTATTTTATGACAGGCAAGTATTGTTTTTTCATGAAATATGACTAGCAAAAGGATTCGATTATAAATATTTTATTATACTTTTGTAATTTATAATATTTATAAGGTTCATGCATTTCTAACGAGAGAATGTGTATAAACTTTCAAAAAGGCAAATGATTTTATAACAAAATAATTAAAATAATTAAAAAATGGTTTTTGAAATTTTTGATTATGTAAGTTTAAATTTTACTTTTAATAAATTAGCTTCAAAGGTGAAATGACAAGTATATTAAAGTATGTTAATATTTGCTTATGTCAGTCGGCAACTGATAACAAAATTATAATAAAAAAATTTTTTTTAAATATAAATAGAATAACAAAATTATTTTATTATCTATAAATTTTATATCCAAAAAGTATGGTGTATATAAATAAATATAAATTGGAGAATATAGTTTTTAAGTAAATATGCAATACGATAATACCAAGAAATTTTTAGTCCTATAAATCTAAAAATATAGTTTTTATAAAAAATAAAAAATAAATAATAAAAATCATAGTATACTATTTTACAAAGTGATACACAAATTTTTTTTTTATTGTAAATTTTTTAATTATTTATTACATACAATAAAGTTTCATAATTATTGTACGAAGGTAAATCATTATATCATTATTATTTTAAAATAGTTCTTATTGTATATAAAATTAATTAAATAATATTATGTTTACGGTTACATCATTTTTAAAAATGTTTTAAAACAGCGTATTATCAATAAATAATGAATAATATTTTTCAATATCCATTCCCACACACGTATATGCATATATATGTATATTAAACTAATGAAATCAATTTGTAGGAAAAAGATAGAAAATTAAAGGACGAGCAAAAGGAAACATAGTTGGTAGTTCATGGCTCCTGGGAGTATATCTATCCTCTATTAACTACAGTAAGTTATCAAGAGCAAGCGGGTGAACGATCGATAGCCAACTATAACCAAAATGCAATAATTGCTTACAACTCGACGGTATTGTAAAAACTTTATATTTATAATATATATGCAGAAATTCCATTGGCCTCTGATCATTATAAGTACTCATATAATTGCTGACTTTGGCAGAAATTTAAATATCAGTAAATATAAATGAAAAAATCAATTAATTGCACACGTTTAAATCGTTTTTTATTCCTATTATATTTAACAGAAAAAGGGCAAAACAGTTGAATGAAATAAAAAGAATGGAAATATGAGAGAGAGAGAGAGAGAGAGAGAGAGAGAGAGAGAGAAGGGAATACGAAGATGACAATAAACTCATAATACAATAATAAATAAAAAAAATTAGATTGCATATTTATATTATATAAATTCTAGGAAATATAAAGTTTCGAATATGAAATCTAATTACGAATTAGAATA